TTTGTCACCTCGCGTACGATAATAATATACATATTACTATTATTATTATCACATTATTATTATAGATGTTGTAGTACTCACCGAGACCGAGTACGTTTACACATATTATAATATTACACTCTCTATGCGTATATATTATTATTATTGTAATATATTGTGTTACGTACGTTTTGATGAATGCGGGTTCATTAAACAAAAATTTACGGTGACGGCCGGGTAAACTACAATGGACGTGTAACTAGCACGCAGAGCTCTCTGTAGACAACAAACACGACACCATCGTAATCAGCGTCGTTGCAGCACAGTTATATTGTACGATGATAATCTTAACCCATTGAAAATTTAGTCACTTCATAGCCTATCGCCGCCGCCGCCGCCGCCTCCGAAGTCGTCATCGTTTGAACGCACATTATTATTATTATTATTATAGTATTACGATAATATTATTATTATCGTGTCGGAAGTTTATTCGATGTCCGTCGTATATAATAATAATTCACAACAAATGATCGCATTGTATTCAGAACGTCGAAAACAAACGAGAAAGCTGCACAGCATTTTACACTCGGAAGTACGGTCGTCGCAAACACGTTGGTAAATTAATTGTTTAAACGACTTGTTCAAAATTATGTTTTGAGCGACTCGTTCGCTCTTCCATCTCGGCAGTGGCGACGGAAGGAAAATATTATAATCTATATCGACCGAGGGTCTGGTAAAAATGTAAAATATTATGTGTATCACCGATCATCGTTGATTGTTCACCGGGCTGATTATGCTTTTCAGTGACCTGATGTGTGCACGAATTATTCCCTCAGATAAATATAATATCACGTGGTGGCTTTCACAATAACACGCTCACAAACCCGGATTTCGACCAACAGTGTCCGGCACGAGACAAAGTGGTTATAATAGTTTTGTGAAATTCGTGGCTTCCTGGGGGATGAAGACGATTCTCGGGGATTGGCGTGTAAGCGTATAATGGCACGAATAATATAGCACGAAGAGAGGAAAAATATAATCCCCTCCCCCCCCCCCGTCGATAGTGTAGTAAATGTAAAGGCTCGCAATTAAAACACTGTCAATTGTCATAATAAATACGTGTACTACCGGTATTTGTGAGTTTCGCAGCTGGTTTCACACAATATAATAATAATAATATGTGTACTGATTTTAGAGTATAATTTTATATTGAGTGCGTCATTTCGCGAGGTAGGTTTTTTGTGTTTTTTGACGATGTCTTCGAGCTTTTTTTTTTGTGCACGTGATATTTTCGTATACCCCTCGTAGGGTCGTTTTCAATTTTTCGACTTTTCCGACACACCGCGCCACCTGTTGGGGTTTCGGTCTTATGACAATATTATAATATATAATAATATTATAGTGAGTCGTCAGGGTCACCAACGTATACATACGTTCGTGTATACGTTGATTGTCCGTTGTTTCCACCCCGTACCTGGGGATTCGATTTTGACACAATATGGTCGTCTGCCATGTAGTCGTATACAAATGATAGATAATATTATACTTATCCGGCGGCGACGGTGGAGTGTATTATTGTTTTCTCACGCGTCCACTTTGTTCGGGCGATTTTGTTCCTGGGGGGATTCATCGGCGGACCGTAAAATTGAATTTTCCCGTTAAAACGTGTCGTGGTAACGTTTCGATCGCAATAGGCTTGCAACTGTTTGTTTTTCGTTTTTTTCTCTAATTCCATAATAACTACGGACCTCGTTCTGTAAGTCGACACTACACCAACAACGTTGCTGCTGCGCGAACAACAACTACCCATCGTGTTACTTTTCGTTAAGTAATTTAATTAATTTTTTCTTCCGAATTCGATTGGAAATCCACCTCCCCCATTCTATTGCCCTTTTTCCGATTCGGATCGCCAAGCATTTGGACGATTGCATTGTTATTGGGCACAGACAATGTTATAATATATAGACATAATAAATATTATAGTATAATATTATGTTATGATGTTAAATAATATCGTCGAAACGGCAGATGTGACGGCGACAAACAGCAAGTGGATCGGCTGCGGTGTTGCCGTCGTTCGCTACAACTATAGCCTACTATTATTATATGATTTCCATCACGGGAGTGTTTCACGAGTGACTCACATGATAAAATATAACAATAACATCATAATTAATATTTTTATTATCCATTACATCGCCGAGACCTGCGACTTACACGCCTGTCGACACTACCACGGAATATCGTGTTACGATGAAATATATATAAAATTTCCGCCAACGAGTTTTACCTCGGGAGCGATGTTATGATGTCGAAAGATTTGTAACATTCGGATGCATATCCTAATTCTAACTCAACAATGTTTTCGGATTAACATAATATCCCTAAGACGTTATCAACAGCGAAGGAAAATAATAATATTGAAATGTCATGGAAATTATAATATCTGGTTCTCTAATATACCTATAAATATAATTATATTAATAATTCGCAAGCTCACACGTCCACCGAATATCGTAACGGTTTCGTATAACAATTTTTAAAATAATTATATTATACGCCGACGGTTTCATCATCGATATAATATAATATATGATATGATTTCACTCGATATTATATAATATTATTATCTAAATGAACATTTTTGTTTGATATGGATTTCAATCGATTTGCAGGAAAAACGGTTGTCTATATATAATATTCTACGAGTGAGCGTTTTTTCGATATCGTATGACGAGACGAATTCCCGTAGTGCGGAAATCATTTTGAAACCATTGGTTTCGATCGAGACGACGATAAACGATATTTTATTATAATATTATAAGTTGTTCACTAACCGTTCACGCCGATGCGATACAACCGAAAATCGTTTTGTTCGATATTTTTCAATAGGCAATAAGTATAATAATAATAATTGTCGTACACTCGTCGCCAACCGTCGAAAACCGCAGTCCGGACGACTTTATATTATTATACCTACGTATAGTGGTTAGGTTGTACATTATCAAAATATTATTGCCATAGGTCACGACGTTTCGTATATTATTATTATTATGGTGACGCAACAATATTGCCTATTACGTATATTATAATATTGTCGTGGCCAGCGGCGGTGTGCTCGTTGCACAAATTATGCTTTGCTTCGGGGCTTTAAATTTCAAGGGTTTAAAACGCTCTGCCACCCGGTGTTGTATACGCGTCGACGATATATCGGCAATTATTATTAAAATTCGTTTAGTTTGATTTTAGCAGCGTTTCCGCGAACCGGTAAGTCGACGGCGTCGTGGTAAAGGGTCATTCGAAAGTGGCAGGCTGGTAATATTCTCGTATTTTACGTCCGGGGCACATAATACAATGCGTTTCTTGTATGATAAACTGTCGGGTATAATATAAACCAGCCAGCGGAGGCGAAATACGACATCCCAGCAAGATTTGAATACAGACTATTACAAATGTTGTAAAAACGCGTTTTACGATGTCGTTCCTATCGCATTATTTATAACTACGAAAATGAAAACACTTCGGTAGCTTTTATTCGACTCCCCCGCCGCCCGCCGCCGCATAGCGCAACGCAACTTGTTTTCCTTATTTTTATTTTACCTATTTTACTATCGTGTTGTTTTAAATGGTTTTTTTTTTTCAATTTAAATGTCATGCTCGTTCATAATATACTATGATATATTATTATTGTGTATTGCTGGGGGTATACCTGTATACTTGATATAAAAAAACAAAAAAAAAAAAAACGCCGGTGTTAAAAAGAAAGACGCGTGTATCGACCTCGACGGTTTTCGATGATAAACCTGCCGCAGCTGTTCGTATAAATAACCAATGACAGTTTTAACAAAACACAAACAAAATAATATAATGCCCACTCCCCCTTCGGTACAAAGTCACGGTATTGAGCAACGTAAAACCCCGCCGGAGATGTAATTGATCGAGAATAATAATAAATGCTATCAAATTTTAATGTTTTTTTGATATTCATTTTTCCATCGAACCAGATCGGTTTCTTTCGAAAAACGAAATGTAGCGTGTCTCGATGATTACATATCATTATTATACTTCGGTTGGTATGGAGTCTATTATTTTATCTATAATGTACCATAATTCGAAATGGCGGTTAAAAATTGTTCAGAGTACTTATTTACTCGGTCAACTCGCTATATAATTAACTGGGAAAGTTTTTACATGGAGTGATTGAAAATCATAATATAAATTATACCAGTATCTAAGTAATTTTTTTTAATGAGGTTCAAAATGTGTCTTTTTAAATTGATATTTAATTTGATTTTAACCTAAAACTTGTTTAATCAATGTTCATTGATTTTAAAGTGGTAATTTATTATAAGAGTTATTGAAATCATTTTTTAACGAAACAAAATATGTTATAAATTATCATACACATAACTCATCAGTCATTAATAATAAACTTCTCTTATCCTAAAATATAATACACTTCACGTCCATGTCAGCTGCCACCTGCCAACAGTCTAAAAATAATAATCTATCGACTCTTGGGGCCTTATAATTCATAGTCGATGCTTAAGAATAAGTATTGCTTAAGTTATACTTATTACTCAAATGTGATTCATAAACGAAACTTTGGCTCAAGAAAAGAAAAAGTATTACTTAAATTAAGTAGGTTGGTCGAGACATTGCTTTAGTTATAATCACAATTTTTTTATTTTTAAAAATTATCAAAATTAGCTTAAAGGTCTATTTACACATAACCGTTCCGTGTCCGTTCCGTATCCGCACCGTCCGTTCAGTATCAGTGCAAGTGTATTTACACTTTACCGATTCGTATCCGTGATGTCCGTTCAGTATCAGACATCAGTGAAAATTATTAGGCTTTTTCATACCAACTTACTTCATTATACTACTTACGTCTGTACGAAGTACACGTTTGTACCGATATTACTTTTCATTTTGTGTTGTTATAATTACAATTTATAAATCTAATTCATTTTCGTACCTATTTTAATAACTGTTTTATAATCAAATATTTGAGTGAAAATATGGCTGAGAACTTAGATGACCTAGAAGATCTAGCCGTACTTGCATTGTTACTAGACGAAGAAGAAAAAACAAAGAATAATACAAAACAAAAAAGACTTTGGGTTCACGACGTATGGAAAAAAAGAAAAACAGAAGGAGAATTTGCCACTTTATATAAAGAACTAGTTGATCATGAAACGAAATTTTTTGAATATTTTCGAATGCCACAATACAGTTTCAACGTATTGTTGCATAAAATTGAAAATGATATTAAAAAACAAGACACTTTTTGGAGAGAGGCCATAACACCAAGAGAACGACTGGCAGTTTGTTTAAGGTACGTGTACAATTTTACTATGTATATGGTAATTTATTTTTGTAAATTTAATTAAGCTTAACAAATTTTAAATCCTTTTAAAATAAATATTTTCTTGTAAAATTAATACATATGAATTGCTTTTAAAATAAATGTTGTCTTGTATATTATTAACGAATGTTGAATAGTTTCATAATAAATTAAAAAAAAATTTAGAAGGTATATAACTAATATATAAAATTAACATTATAATTTATAATATCAAATCATTTGTAAATATCTGGTCTGTAGGTCCTTGGATATTATGGGCAAGATTCTGAGAAGCGTTTAAAGACATATTTTGACTTAAATCTGCAGGGGATGGTGGCGCAGATGAACAATACGATATATTTGGTGATAATGTATTTGTTGGCACTTGAACATAGGCATGGTTTTGAGAATTTTTTTGAGTAAACTGTGGAGATGGCGTTGAGGACAGGTAGTGCGATCTAGATGTCATGTTTCGTGGTTCTTGTGCATATTGGTTGTTTTGAGCTTGAATGTTATTGTTATGGGTAAGGTTCTGGGTAGCATTTAAAGAAATATTTTGGCATAAATCTGCAGGGGATGGTGGCGCAGATGAACAATACGATGTATTTGGTGATAATGTATTTGTGGGCACTTGAACATAGGCATGGTTTTGAGCATTTTTTTGAGTAAACTGTGGAGATGGTGGTGAGGGCAGGTAGTGTGATGTGGATGTCATGTATCTTGGTTCTTGTACGTATTGGTTTTTTTGAGCTGCATTTGGAATAATAGTTGGGTTTAATTGCTGATAATATGTTGGCGATGGTACAGTAAAATATGGCACTGTATGTGAATTTTTTTTCTGTTCTTCGTCTAAGATCATTTTCATTTCACACTCTTGGACTATTGAAAATATTTTGGTTTTCACTAAGTTTAAATAATACGGTGTGAATGTCTTAAGTGTTGGTGAGAGGCCTGCCAAAAAAGCATCAACTGGATTATTTTGAGTGACATTGAACATATTATTTTCCTTTTTTTGCATAATATATTTCATCAACGTGGTTGAAGCCGAATCTGGTGTTTTAATTATTGAACGTTTTTGGATCGATTTTCGAACTGGCTTAGACGACCGGGTTTGTTCAACATTTTGCAATTGCTCACCGTCTATATCGTTGATGATCTCGTCAATTTGAACTGCAGCGTTTTCATTATCGTTTTCATTTTCATTTTCATCCACGTCGTCATTGAAAATGTCTACGTTGTCTTCATTGTCAACTACATCTTCTATGTTTCCCAAAGTGTCCCTTTCTTGTAGATGTGGTTTTAGGAATTGTAGCTGGTCATCAAATTTATATTTTTTCACTTTTTTAGCGGCTTGCCCACTTGTTGTTTTTTTTATGGATTTTCGGTAATTATCTCGGATATTGTTCCAACGAGTTTTGCACATTTTTCCTATAATTACATATTGATACTATAATAATAAAACAACTAGTGTATTTCATTATAATAATATCAAGTTCAAAATAGATAATACTACATGTTTATTACTAGGGCCCGGATTTATATGCATTTGCATGTTTTTTTAACAGCACAAAGAGTAGCTAAATAAGCTACAAGCTTGAATTATAGTCAATAGATCCGGAATATATAGTTTTATTTTGTATATTTCTTGCATATTATGTAAGTGCATATTTGAATGATAACCGATGTATAAATACATACATATTTTGTATTTTTGTATGTTTTTAGTACTTACACATAATTCCGGGCCTTACTTATAGGTTATTTTATATTTTACACATCAATAATATCATAAAGAAAATATTTTTATTACGTATTTATTCATATATTTACAATTGAATTTAAATCATAACATTTATAAACTAACACTAACTATTAAATTGTAATTTTATAATTTTCTTATAATTTTTATGTAATTAAAAAGTTATAGGTATATTTGATGTTTCAGATTTTTGGCTACGGGAGATTCCTTTAAAACAATTTCATTTAGTTATCGTCTAGGTCATACAACTGTTTATAGAATTGTAATTGAAACTTGTAAAAGTATAGTAACAAATTTAATGTCAGAAGTAATGCCACAACCCACAGAAGAAAGATGGAAACAAATTGCAAATGATTTTTGGACCAATTGGAATTTTCCAAGCATTACTTATGAATACAGCCCTTAGTATCTTAAATAGTAATTTTAATAATATGATATTATAGGGATAATAATAAATTGTATATATTGTTTTATACTTAGGCACACATGTCTGGGAAGTGCATTAAATTCGAAAATGTGTTTTTTTTGTAATATTCATCATACGTCATATAATAATATAATATCGATCGATCGTATTCGTTATACTTAATATGCCCGTCTCCGTTTTCGAATATTTTTTATAATGTCAAAAATAATATTGTCGAAGAACAGAAAATAAAAAAGGCATGTATTGTGTGGACCTATGTGTGTGTTGTGTGCATGTAATTTAACGACACAACTGATTTAGTTGGTACTCTGCAGGACTACTGTGCTGCTTTATTCATTTATTGAATAAGATGTAAAGCTCTGCAGTATAATAATATGTAATCCGCCGGGGTTTTATCGCCGAGTAACTCAAAATCCTCAAATAAATTACAATAATTATTGTGCGGCTGAGAGCGAGATGGAAAGAGTGAGTGTGTGCGTGTACGTAACAGTGAGTGAGGGGGAAACTTTGTGTAGAGTATTGTTTACCCCGCAATCTATTCTTAGCGTTATACTCAAGCAAGAAACAAGGACGAAATTAACATATTTATTACATTAATATCAGGCCATCCACTGCCCGCGACTCGCCGCCCGCCCCGCCCTCCCCACCGCCGTCGGTGTTCGTAAATATTGCTAAGCCTTCTCCAAATAACATTTAATAACACCCTTCCCGTATTATAGCAAAACTACTTTTCTCGTCCAATACCTACCCACTGTTTGTAATACGCAACGCCGCCAAAACTTTTCGTTTTGATTTATGCATTATTGTTTTTATCTTGTCCCGACACCCTTGCACCCCCTCCACCGTCACGCCGTCGCCCCCCTCGGCCCGCCTTGGCGCCCCCCTCGGCCCGCCTTGGCGCCCCCCCCCCCTTGCCCGGCAATAACCATAATGGACTACCGGGGGGGGGAAATTTTAGGTGTCCGCCGACTGTTCCGGGCGAATATAAATTAGCGGCTTAAGAAAATAAACCAAGTACGAACGTACGATTTCTTATCTGTGAATTTTTATTCACACTCTGCCAATTCTCCTAATGGAAAATATATAAATTACAATGTTACATTCGCGTTTTGTGTATATATTATATTCTGTGGTTCAAACACAATATAAACGAATAAAAATACACTAGCCCGGGAACAGGTTGAAATCTTCAAATTGAAAAGGACAAAAATAAAATGAAAACGGTCGTCGCGGTTGTTTAGCGAAATATTGTCTACGTGGTCTAAATAAAAACGGTATACTTACACCGACCGCAATATTAATATTATATTATAATGACAGTGTAAACTCAAAAAGACACGTGTATTTTATAATAAAGTTGTCGAGCAGATGAAAAATATTTTTATGGAGTCGATACAAAATGAATAAAAAAAAAAATGCACGTAAAAGATGGGACGAAAATGATTAATTTTTCGTGTACATTATTTCGTCCGGCGCGTTTAGTAATAAATTATACGGAATTATTACTTATTACTTATTATACAGTATACACGTATTATTATGATAACCCGCGATTACATATTAATATATTACTATTATATTATTATTTATTACTAATAATTAACAATAATAAATTAACGGCTTAGGGTCAACATAATATTATTTAAAAACCATCTCGATTTTTATCAATTTACGAAGGAAAACATTGTACGTGCCGGAGCTGAGTACCTACCTATGGGCTATAATAATAATAATAATAATAATAATAATAAGGTTATACGAAACTTGGTTAATTGAAATATTTTCGATAATTTATATTACCTCTGATAATAATATGATTTGATTTATAATATTAATTTTTCATTTTCAGGTAAGAGTCATCAGTGTTAAAAAATTGTTATCCCGTCCATTACACGAGTCGTATATAACGTCTAGACCCGAACAAAACGTGAGTATAATGCTATTATGTTATTATTTTGCACGAAGTTTGATGAAGGAAAACAATCGTACGAAAACGTATCTGCAAATGTAAATACTGAAAAACATGGCGTAGAAATAATAGTTGTAAATAATGTGCATTGTTCCGTTTCTTTATATTTTTGTTATTAAACTTGGACTATTAGTTACGTTGATTTATCTTATAGGAATCGTATCGCATATAAATCTCAAACGTTTCAGGTTGTCGTACTCTGTTTTCATTTATGCATCGAGTTAAAATTATTAGATTAAATTATGGACTGCCTTTTTTTTTAGTATATTTGCATTTTGCGGCGATAATACGATTTTTAAACGCCCCTCGGGTTTTAATCAACTTTAACATTTCATTTCACGAAGTTCGTCAGCGATTCTGATGGTTTTAACTTTTAATGCATTCCGAACAAATGAAGAATTGCAATAATATTCTAAGTTGCTTAGTTCCACCAAATAACTACACCAATATTAATATAATTTTAAAAACGTTGTCTGTTCCACTCTGTATATTATTATTTATTAATAAAATAATATTGTCTGCGACACAAAAGAGAATTGTGTATTATATAAACTTTAATTATAGTTTGAGTCTGACGTCCTAAGTTTGATCTCTAAGTCCTTAATTTCATACCCCGTCCATTCATACCTGGCTTCTAGCCATTTTCATATACAGGATTAACGGGAAACCCAGAAAGTCTGCTGGTTAAAGTGAAGTATTGCTTTATAGATCGCTATGAATGCATTCGAAATGAAAATATAGTTATACTTCAGCTTGCCCTATATTATTTGCCATTCAGACCATATACATGAAGAACTTTCAGTGCATATTGTGCGGAAAATAATAAATTACAGCAATGACGGGAAAAGGGGTCTTGATATAATATAAAACCAAGCTCGTACTTAAAAAAAAAAAAACCAAAATATTTGACTAATTAAAATGTTACAACGTAGATTTTTCCCCTTTTATGTATTATAAAAAATAACCCTTATTAATTTTATTGTACAACCAACTGACCTTTTCATTTTAAATCCAAATCTAAAATGTAGGTACTTTAATAAGAACGTTTTATCTATACCATTATAATATTATGTGTATTTTACTATTTAGTATTTTGTTCACGTTGGTTCAAAACATAATAATGTTGTATACAGACATACAGTTCGTCCATACAACAGGCACTTATTAATTACATAATATTATAATTATATAATCTATAAACGTTATAATATTTAATAATATACAATACAGGTACATAATAGGTATACAGTGAAACCTCTCCTAACGAACACCTTTTTAACTAGAGGGCTCCTCCAAATAGCTAACGATTTCTCGGGAACCCATTACAAATTTTCTATTAACTGAACTCCCTGAATAGGGGACAAAATGTCAGCGACCGGGAGTGTCCGGTATTTAGAGGTTTCACTGTATATGTACATAACAATTTACTATAATAGACGTATGTCATTTGTTTTGGATACTTTTACCATCGAAATTGAATTTATAGACTAAATATTATACTTATACTATCGTCGCGTTATCGTTTAAGTGTAACGGCGAGAATAGAATTTGTAGTTACCTATTTTTGTTCTCTCCTGTGCACGCAATCCATTATATTATGTACTCAAATAAAATAATACAGCATTGTAAATCTAATGAGTGATATACATGTTAAACTATGTGCATGGCACGTGGTGGTTATAATATAGTTGCCTACTTGCCTGAGTAATTGTACGTCATGTAGTGTATAATGTTTTATTACGACACATTACCTACAGAGAATAAGTCGGGGTGAACAACTGGTTGCCACCTATTTATAATTGTATGTATAATTCCTATTGGGAATCATAATTGTATTTGTTTTGTGTGTCGGGCTTTATAATATATGTGTAGTACTGTAGTATAAATAGTTTAAATATATGTACACAGTACGATGGTCGTATTGTTTGTTTTAAAATTACGACAAATAGCCAAATAGGTATCGAAAAAGTTTTAAATTTGTTTCTATTGATTTTTCTTGGATACGAACGAGTGAACAGCACTAAAACAAAGTTTTATATCCGTAGGTATAGCTGTAGAACTGCGTGCGATACTTATATACACATATATGACAACGGGAATGCGACCTTTCGATATGGGTAATAGTTTTCGTCGATAATTGAAAGTTCGTCGTCAATAATATTACACGCTGCAGTCACCGATGCACTCGCATTTCAAACCAACCTCGCGGAATTCGCTTGCATCGGACGTCGATCGCTGCAGCTCTATAAATAATAAAATTCATATTGTACAGAGTGAACGAAATAAGTGACGGAGGAAATACGGCGAGGGCCGCCCTATATGTTTGACTCGATGGATCGGAGCATAATACACCTATCATAATAAGCCCGTTGTGCACAGAAATCGAGAGAGACACGCCGACTACTATATTATTATTATTGTCACAACTTTGGTACCTATTGATGCCTAATTTAATATTATAGAGTGTTGGAGACGATGAGTGAATTTTTTTTTACTGCCGTCCGGTTGATAACGACGAGTCGTCGTCGGCCATCGACGTTCCGGGAGCCATCCCCCACCACCTGCAAACACGCACTCCGCTTCGACGGTTCCATTTGTCATCGGACGAGCCGTCGCGTTTTTATCGGGCGACTATGCCACGCAATCGGTACTTACCCGCACCGCACACTTACCTACGCGCGTGCGCCATCATAATTCACACGGTGTTGTACCTAGTATATTATAATATAAACCGTAAATTATTATTGTTCGATACGTTTTTAATGGGACATAAACAATGTTATTATACCGTACCATGCCGAGCTGGTCGCGCGCGTGCGTAGACGTTATTATAAAATATTAAGGAGTATTTAATGGACGGACGGCGCGGAGGTTACCTAAGTCCTCCGCTTGCTCGTTTTCAAATAGGAATATCAATTTATTTGACGTGTCCTGCCCGTCGATTTATTGCACGCGCTATAATGTATTCAAACGAGATCGCTGCAGTACACACGCCGCCGCATTTATACAA